CACAAACAATAACAGCCAGTCAGTGAACACGTTTTGTAACTGTAAAATGTTTTCTGTGTGGTCCTGCTGTGTTGCTAAAAAGTTACAAAAACATTTATCCTGTCACATTCCCCTACAATAGTGTGTTATTCTGATTTACACATGACATTACATTAAAGTCTTTTTTAAAATTGTGCTTTAAGTTATGATCACATCTCAGAATTTACTCCAGGGCTCTAGAGTGCAACCACATTTTTCAATAGTGTGACTAAAAAAAAAAAAAAGCGATATTGATTCATTAAATCCTGACTCGACTTTTGAATATGTGTTTTGCCAGAAACGCCAGGATCTCAGGTTAAAGCTCACAAAACTATTTCAACAACCTCCAAACAGCAAATGAGAGCAGGTAAACGGATTCCACACAAAGGCGTAAACACCGAGCGGACCCGACGCATCAGAATCAGCTTTCTCTTTTTCGGCTTTCTCACTCGGCGACACGTACACGCCGTCGGGGCTGAAAGCAGACAGCTCACTGATTCTGATGCGTCTGCGATTTGCCACTTTGTGTTTACGTCTTTTTTGCGTTCGATTCTGAGCTGCAGATTTTGTCTTTCTCAAACCCAAATTCACTGAACCAGCAGCAAAAGAAGATCCAAACTACACTTCACATTTGATAAATCATCAGTAATCTTCTCTCACGTTTGCCGTTTTGCTTCCACCACGATAAACTCACTGTTGTTTACAGCGCTGTCGGACGCTGCCTTTTCTTTCTTTTTTGACTTAAATGACCTCGGACAAGAAAGCCTGATTTCTGCTGTTCAATACTGAAGAAGTTTAAACTTTTTAAAACTATGCAAAATTACAGAATATTTTTAAGGTTATCTGCTATAAAAAGCCAGGCCAGGAAAATCTCCTTCATGTTTTTCTGAGTTTTATTCTCAGTTACTTTGACACAAAGGCATCTGCTGTGATGCTTACTCCTCTGATGAAGTCTCACAAGTGTCAGTACTGATAAATGATCAGAATTATAATATTTCTGACTGTCTGAGGCAAAATTGAATCGAATCGAATCAGCACCTTGTGAATCACAATCGAATGGATTGTAGAAAAAAGTGATGGTACCCAGCCCTAGTGAGTAGCCTAGGCCGACAGAAGTGGATGTAGCTTTGGGTAATGACAAAAGATGAAAAGAACTATTGATTATTTTTTCTCTAAGTTAAGGCCTGATCCGTCTGAAATTCATAGCCAGTGCTCTGACACGGAGCCATCAATCTCTGAACGCTGAAAAAGCACAGTGTATCCAGAAAACACATTTTATGCAGCGATAAATGCACGGCCCAAGTGTCCCCTCTCTCTCTCTC